AAACTTTGCATGTTGTCCTTTGAGCACCCAGTGGGTCTCGTCAATTTACGTGCAGCGCGATCTGCAAATACTGAGAACATTGGAGAACCAAGGAGACAAACACAGAACTATGTTACTGGGGCAACCACTTTCGACACGTAACCTCTGCTAATTTGAGTTCTGCTACCTCTGGGCTTATACCAGTGTAAGACCTGCCCCCAGGGAGCAAATCTTGGTACACTAGTGCAGGGGGTTCCAATTTTTTGGTGGCCTCCTGGTGGGCGCTTGGACAGAAACAAAACAAATAGGCACGTACACATGCCTAGCGTTATTGTATTCTATTTCTACAGGGCAATGTGTAGCTATATTGGTGCCCATTGTTCCCCCTCCCTGCTTACCCCACTCCTTGTTCTTGGCCATGGCGCATACTAAGCATGGCTCTTCTGAATCCCAGAGCCTACCACTGGAGCCCCGTGACTGAAGAGGGGAGGTAGGGAGCACTGAAGCCTGTGGCTTAAGCCCCAAACTAGAGCATGGGGGCTGAAGCCCCCCACTGGAGGCCCTTAGTGCTGCAGGGAGGGGCAGCTGCTTTGCCCTCTTCCTCATCTCTGCCCAGGAGGCAGCCATGGCTGCAGGAAAACCCTCTGGTGGCCACATGTGGCTACGGTGGCTACATTGGAGAGACCTTGCACGAGAGAGTCTGGGGGTTGCCATAATTTGGAAATGTAAATCTGAGCTCACGAGGCTTGTGGGGGGTCGGTATGGTTCATGGCACTGGAGGGTTATGCTGTTGCCTAGCACTGTCTGTCCCGAAATGTGGTGAGATTCCAGGAGGTACAAAGTGTGCATCTGCTTCATCGTCTATAGAGCCAATTATCTGTTTTGTCTTTCTAGAAACGTAGTGCATCTCTCATTAAATGCCCCATTAAATGCCCCATATCTTAAGCATTTTGATCAGTAACCCAGTATGTTGGGTGCCTCACTGATCATTCGTCAGGATAGTGTGCTGATGTGAATCAACTGATTTTTGTACGTTGTTTCGTTCTAGAGTTAGCCTCAGGAGAAGCAAACCGGAATGACTTTCTGGTTACAAGTGAGCTATGCAGTTTAGGTTAAAAAACCTCATCTATGTTTGTTTACAGTCGTCCCTTCACAACTGAAAGAAACCAAATGTGTGTAATCGTGGAAACTATTGTAATTCTTGCTGAGTGCGCACTCTGCAAGGGGAAAATTTAATGAGAGCTTCCTGTTTTTGGAATGGGAGACTTTTAAAAATAGAACTCCTAAACAAATGCATCATTGGAAATATAACTTTGAAATGTATTGTGACCCCTTTTGCCACATGCTGCCTCGTGAGAGCAATTTTCTTCCCTTTCAAACGCTTTTTCTCACTCTGAATTCCCCCCCCCCTTCCCATTACCCATGGTTGAAGGGAGGGAGGAATATGTGCTGAAGAATCCTTAATGAAGGCCTAAACCCATAGGGTCCAACATGCTAACCACATGCGGCTGTTTGGCCAGTTGAGTGTGGCTAGTTGGCTTGAACAATGTGGCTAGTTCAGAACTCCTTGGACACCACAGACCCTAAACCCAAGTAATGAGGCTGAAAATGTGGGTGGTAGAACCAGTAATCAGCAAAATTGTACATGCTCAGCTTTGAGGAGCACCTGAATCTTAGCTAAACCAGCCAAACCTCTTGAAAAGTTGGCTTGGAGATGGCAGGAGGGCTACCCTTCTTGTGGCCTTTCAGGACTTCCGTTAGCGGCATGGGCCAGAGGCCAAAACTCTGTTCAAAGGAATGTAAAAATAGAAGATGAATGGAGGTGGAGGGATTGTGTTTGCTAGACAGGGTTTGGGGGATTAGATGGAAGACTTCAATTTTTGTGTGTTTGGGGAAAAAGTTCCAAAGATGGGTTATTTTCACTGAATTGTAGCTGTACACCGGAGAGGGGAGTTAGTGGGCTTGGGTTTTATTCTCAGCTCTTGTGCAGGCTGGGCAAATAAGTGAGGCCTGGTCTACAGTACAAATAAACAGCGATGGACACATGGTGTTCTACTGGGGCTTCGTTTTGCCTGCTTGAAAGGAAGAAAGTTATGGCTGTATTAGAGGCATGTGTGTTTTAATATTGGTAGCCATGTAGGCTACAATGGGCTCATTAACATGTTTATAATATGGGCCTCATTCTGTACCTGTGGGCTTTGTCCACACTAAGATTTTTGTCTAAAATTTCCCTGCTGCACTGTGAGGAGCAACAGTGGGAGTCCTTGTATAGACAAGGCATCTCCAGCATTCTCCCCACCATGCTGCAGTCGAGGGGGGGGGGGGATAGACAATGTGATTAAAATACTGGGAGCCCGCTGAAGCCTTAGCTGTATTAGAGCCCCCACCAGTGAAATTGCACCAGTGAGGGCAATGGTGCAAAGTAGTGTAGTCAGTGATAGGCAAAAAAGGCACGGTTGTAAGACCATACTCCTGTTTATGCATAGGTAATGCATAGGTTATGCATACGTGGTTCTCCATTGGAAAATATTATAATGGGGTTAATGGGAGGTTGGTTGTAAGTACGGATGGTTGTAAGTCGGTGTATTCGTAAGTCGGGGAGTGGCTGTATTTGATCTTTGATGCTTAAAATAGTTGATCAGCAACTTGCTTTGGATCAAAGAGTTGGAATTCCCGCAAGTGCTCGGGTAGGACTCCTCCTCATCTGGCTGCCCCTTCTGCGGAAGGCAATGGGTGGATCTTCCAGAGAGTCAGACTGTTCTGACCACAACCAGAAAACCAGGCTGGGGCACCCAGCATGGAGCGATCAGGAGACAGATTGCCTCCAGCAACAGCAGTCCCTGCTGTTTACATGTAGAGGGAATAAACTAAACATTTTTTTAAAGTTATAGCTCTTGTGGCAGGAGTGGTCCGGTTGTCGCTAGTACAGTGGGGCTGTACAAGATGGGAGGGGTACACACAGTGGAACTCTGACTGGGTTGTGGTGATGTCAGTCTCCCTTTAATGGTGATGTCCAGGAAACACACGGCGTGGCTCTTTTTTGCTCTGACTTTTCTAGGAGAAAGAGAGCTATCCAAGGCAATATGTTTCTGGGTGAGGCTCAACGGTTCAGGACCCTGAAGTCACTTGGCCTCCTGGCTTCAGCCAATATTCCAGGCAAATGGGCATCCCCTAGAAATCCTCCATATCTCAGCTCAATGCTCTGGTCTTCCCAGCGCACAGAGAAACTAGTGCAACCAGCTCCTTCTGCAGGGCCGCTTTTTTTTGTCTTTGAAGAGGCAGTTCTCTGAATTTGCAGCTGTAAGATGCTCTGCCAACGGCTTTCTCTTCCCACGGTATTGCGTCTTTGTCGGAGTAAAGGTATCTTTGCTTTTTTACATTTTCCACACTTCACTCAGCAACAGACTGTAGTGGAGTCCCAAAGCTAAACTGAGGGTGGTGTCTCGTTGAGTCCCTCTCAAAAGAGCATTTTCCTTAAGGGGGTTGCAGGAGCTTCTCCCTTAGATTTGTGTAAAGATCAGGAACTCTGGATTAGCTTGGTTCCTTTTCCCCCTCTTGTGCACAGAGACCTTGACTTGTTTTCCCATTTGAGACCCTGCAACGTCATGGCCACCATTCTAACAGGTGAAGAGACCTGAATGTCCTTAGAGTAGAGCAACTAGACTCTTGGCGGGCAAGGGACCTGTGCTAGTTGACTTGAGCTCATGGAGCTGATCCACTGTAATATAGACTGCCAGCCTTAGGTTGGCGTCCGAGCCCTGGGATCTTCCCATCCTGCAGTGTCCTAGAGCCTGCGCTTCCGCCTACCTCCAGAAGTGCACACAACAGCGAAACAGACCCGTGAGCCTGAGTTGGCCGACCCGGCCCAGCCATGGACATCTAGTTGCCGTGTACCCTCAGAGCTTTGCTAGTCTCCCCTTTAGTCAGCCTGTACGGGATCTTTCCAAAAAGTGCCCCGTTGCTGGAAAAAACGTGTCTAAACCGCGGTTTCACTCTCAACATGGCGCTTGTTCGAAACAGCGCCATGACGCGATTATGCAAATGCAGCTCAGGATATTTAAATCCCTGCTTCATTTGCACTTTCAAAACATCTAATTTACATCCCTCTGCCAACACACGGGTGTAGTTTAGATGTAGCCTGAGAAGATGGGTTTATTGTTTGTTTGGTTGGGTTTTTTTTTGGGCTTTGCTTCTGACTTTAGGCCACTCGGCCCCAGTCTAGCGCTTCAGTTTTCCCATATGTAGAATAGGGAGGATAATTAGTGATGGGCATGGGATGTCCCATTCCAATCCTGTGTCATATTTCCAAAAATGTGGCGGGTGGAGGTGTTTTGAGATCAAAGGTTTGCCTCTGGCCTTTTTCTATGGATGACACTTGCCCACTTCTCGTAGGTGTGAGGCTTTATGAACGTCTGAGAGACACGTGGGGACCCGTGAAGGGAAGGGGCTATGTAATAAAGTGCAAAGATTTTACTCTGTGGTTCCGCTCTTTACAAAACACACCACTTCATGGTTCTCGCTGTCGAACCGCATCCATTTCCAGGGGGGTGAAGAGAACAGAAGTCAGCCCCTCCGAGTCAGGGTGGAGGCCAGGTTGCTCTCTGGATCCAGTGCTTGTTTCAGAAACACCAAAAGTCGATGCCTCCACATGCACACTCGAAAGAGCCAACTGGCTCAGCGCCCTCAGTGACGCTTGGCAGCTTTGACAGCCGGCTGACTCCAGCCCATTACTGTGTGCAAACCAAGTCCAGCTCGACTTCCTGCTTTCACTGTCCTACTTGCTGGACGGAGGCCTGAGACCTTGTCATTGCTGGCCTGGAAGTGTATTGTGAGTGTCAGCAGCCCGGCAATAGCAAGGAGCCGATGAGGCATGCTCGCGGCCTGACAGATAATCAGTGGGCCGCCAAGCAGAGCTCTACCCTTGCCATGGCTCCTGGTCATGCGGAGCAGTTGAAAAGTAAGTAGAACAGCTGGACTCATTCTGCCCTTAACCGATGTTTGTCTTTTTCTCCCTCTGCTAGAAGAGAAATATGTCACAATCCAACCGTACACCAGCCAAGGGAAGGACGAGATTGGGTTTGAAAAAGGGGTCACCGTGGAGGTCATCCAGAAGAACCTGGAAGGATGGTGGTACATAAGGTAAAAAGTTTTTTCCTGCAGGCAAATTTATTACAGCACTTACGATCTTTGGGCCTTTTGATAATTAGTTCCACATCCGCATCATGTAACATTCTCTGTCGAGAGAAGAAAACCTGAGTTAGTAACCAGAAGGCACGCTAGGCAGAAGTGCAGAGGAAAGCTACAGAAGACCAATACACCATGTGCAGTATTGATTGCAGTGAGGAACATGGGCTGTGAAGTCTGTAGACCTGAAATATTTTGATAGGAAAGTCTTGTCTTTTTAGATTTCAAATTAAAAACCCATATCCCAGTCAGCAAATGGCACTTCTCTCCTACAATGGATCATTGTAATGTGTGTGCAGCTGGCTATTTTTTGAGTCTGTGTGTCTTTCTGCAAAGTATTTGGCGAATCCAGTTTTACTAATGCTGGAAGGTTGCTGTTTGGAGTCAGGTAGCTTGGGGCAGCTTTTTTCTTTTCCTTAAACGGGTTTGGGTGATCAGCCCATTGAGTGCAGAATAAATTATTGTGGAGACTGATGCATTCATGAGACTTCAAATAATGGTAAAATCCTACAGGGCCAGACTTTCAGAGTTCTTTGCATCTCCAAGATAGTCCTTGTATGCAATTGTAACCTGTATGCCACAAACAGATAGAGATATGCATGCAAATTGGATGTGCAGTTCTGAAAATAGCTGCAGTTTTCCCTTATGACTGCCAAACTCCCTTGAAAAGAGTATGACACCATGGCTTAGGCATTTCTTGGATAGAGATTTAATGTATTTGGATCAATACTTGTCAAGAATGGGCTCTTGATACAGGTTTAAAAAGCCACCGGTACTCTCATGCCCTAATCATGACACAGGTCTTTGCGCATGACTGTAAAGTTTGGGGTGTCAGCTTGTGAGTGTTGTGTAGGACCATTCCTATTGATTTAAATAGACAATAGACACAGAAAGACGGTTAAAGAGAACTTTGTAATTCATGAGATCTAGCCTTTCTGTTCATCTTTTTGCCTCTACTAGATTTTTGTTTGCTTTTCTAATTGGAGTCTGCTCGGTTTATAACAAAGGAAACTATATGAATTCTGATTGAGAAAGTACAGTCGGAACCCACATTTTAGTGCTTCATGCATGATAAACATGTTAGTTTTGTATCTCTTTGGGTGTGTCTAGACTACCTAGTTTTGTCGACAAAAGTGGACTTTTGTCGACAAAACAATACCAGCGTCTACACTACCACGGAGTTCTGTAGACATAACGTCGACAGAACTCCGCGGTTTTGTCGACGCTGGTATACCTCATTTTACGAGGCATAACACTTTCTGTCGACAGAACTCTGTCAACAGAAGGTGTTATTGCCTGTAACACTGCGTCCAGACTACGGAGTTCTGTCGACAAAGCGGCTTGCTTTGTCGACAGAACTCCATGTGTCTGGACGCAAATTGTCGATGGAAGTTTTGTCGACAGTTTCTGTCAACAAAACTTCCGTCGACAAAACGCGGTAGTCTAGACGTACCCTTAGATTCTTCCTAACAAGGAGGCTAATTAACTAAAGTCTTGCAGGAGCGAACGAGCTCTAGACATTGGTCAGGTCACAATTTTTTCCACCCTATTAATCATTCACATGACTTGAGTCCAACTTTGAAGATTGAAGAACAAAACATGCTGGTTTGTTGTAGGATTCTTTTCATCTTCATAAATAACAATTCTGCAAGCATCTGGATCTCTTTTGTGCTTCAAAATTGTGTGGGGTTACTCTTTTGTGTAATGTCGAGTGGGCACACTTAACTTGGACAAAAAGGGAAGACTCCTTATTACTTTTTCCAGCAGAACTTTTTACTTGAACTTTTCCCAGCAGACCTGTCTTTAGGCCCAAGCTAGCATCTTTTGATGGGTTTTAATTGCACTTTCAGACCAAGGATCCAATCCTGGAAGGTTTTATGTTCGTGACTCCTGTAGAAATCAGTGAGTTGAGGATGCTCAGTATGATCCATATTTTGCAATCTGTGTCTCTTCTTGGTTATGCAGATCCTGTTTGGAGACACAGCATTTCGAATTTGAAGTGTTTGGGATATGGGGGACTTAGTAGCCACATAACTACTGTTAATGCCAAACTATTCCCTGGTTTGGCAGCTTGTATCCGAGCCCAAGGAGTCAAGCCCCCTCTCAATGAGATACTATTTGGAACAGCATTGCGAACCTCTCCCTGCCACTAGCCACGGCGTAGGTACAGTATGGGGTAAAAAGGATTTCTTTGAGGACTCTTACACTAAAAGCCTTCATCAACTTCACACATTGATTTAAAACATTGTAAAGGCTTTTAAGAACACTTGTAGCACTGCTTGAGCAACGCCACCCTAGTATTCAGCAATACCTCAGTCCAGGTGTTTAGCTAGTTACATTGAAATGCTCCTTATTTTGTCCTGCAGGGACCAAAGTAGGTGAGGTCCGTATAAATCCGGTTGCCATTTAATCTGTTCCATTGGAAATACGGACGCAATACGTGTATTAAAGTTTTCAGACCGTTGTTGTTGGATTTTTATTTTTAACCAGGTCTACCTTAAAGATGTTAACAAGCTCCACCTTAAATATGTAATTTCCCAAAATTCCTGGCCATGTGCTGATCCTCATTTCCTGTCTTTCTCTTTTTTCCCTCCAGTTTGCTTCCCCCTGGAGTAATTCCAGTGCTCTGAAGCTGGAAAGCAGATGTTAAGGGAACCAAAGCTCAGACACACAGAGGCTCTCTTGATTTTTTTTTTTTTTTTTTTTAACATTCCTATGGCTTGAATCTGACTTTTTTTTTCTTCATGTACATTAAAATGAAAAAGGGGTTTTGACTCTGAAGCCAAATCAATGCCCCTAACCCTGTAACCCTACAACTGTATTTCAATCCCTGTTGCATTGAAACACCTTATATTTCTTCTCCTTCCTTTCCCCTCTTTCATGTTGTAACTTGAGAGGCACTTAATTTTTGATGTGTTGAAGACTGAGCTGGAATCTTCATTACCTCTTGATTGGGTTCAGCCATGGATTGCTGTCACTCGCCTCCGTGATCATATTACACACTTAATAGCTGAAGTTACAGTCAGTTATTCAGCTGCTGCTTTATATCGGTTATATCTGGAAAGCCTTGGAGCTGTTCTCATGCTGACAGATAAGGGTTGTCACGGTCTTTTGACATGCAAGTTACTGATCAAGGTTTTAATAACTGGCCTGCCTTTGATTTCCAGGACTAGAATGAACATTAAACCCCTCGCGCACGCAAGGCAGTTTGCTAGGCTGTAAACTGAAATGCCGATGGAAGGAAAATCGAGTAAGATTAGACGTGCCTGTGACAGATGGCAAATTGACGGGAAGGCCCGTGGCTGAGGGTTTCCCTGCAGTGCGGGTGGGAGGTGCCACTGAAGGGCAGGTAACCATGCAGGCTGAAAAGTGGCTGTGAAGGTGATGCAGTATGAGTGGTATCGTCACTCGGCACCGAAGTACAAGCCTGCCAAGGACCCCGGAATGAACTCCAATGGCTAGCGTCACTTGTGCTGCCTACCTAATCCTCCCACCCTGACAATCCTTCCAGGCTACAGCTACACTAAGAGTTTTCTCTGCCAAAAATATGCTAATGAGGGACTCTTTTGCATGAGTCGTGATCTCATTTGCATATTTTCTGCTGATCCGTTTTTGCGCTGGGGTTTTTGCGCACAGTGTGGACGTTTTCTCCTTGTGCAAAAACCCTCTTTTCCCACAAGATCCTTATGCCCCAAAAAGAGGTATACTGATCATATGGAAAAAGGGGTTTTTGCTCAAAAAGAAAATGTCCACACTGCTTGTTTTTGTGCAAAAACCCCAGTGCAAAAACGGATTGGCAGAAAATATGCAAATGAGATCATGACTCATGCAAATGAATCCCTCATTAGCATATTTTTTGCTGAGGAAAACTACTTGTGTAGACGTAGCCCCAGAGATCAAAGCTAGATCAGGTACACCAGCTGGTGCTGCACTCGTACCTCCCGGCTGCATTATAGACCTTGCAGGAGAACCAAGTGATCTGGGTTTTATTCCTGGATATTCCTATGGGAGTTCAGTGAGGATATTTAATCTTCTTGCCTGGTTACCCTGCCTGAGAGGGGGAGAATGAGTGATCTCTAACAAAAGCTGAATCCATTCAAGTTTGTGAAACGGTTTGGGCTTCTCCGATGGAAGGGCACAATATTGGTTGCAGCTGTACCAAATTCCTGTCCTACTTGGCCTATGTACTTGGAGGTCATTGCTGATGGTGACTATTGCATATTACTTCTCATTAGAATGGTCTCCGCACTGCATCTACTTCTTAATGTTGAATTGGGGCAAACTGCAGCCAGCAGCGAGATGGTCAGTAGTTTTGTGTGGTTTAAAAGTGGCTGCCATAGATAGAAATGTTATAAGGTCACTAAAGCGATCGGAGCCAAATGGAATTCATTTGGCAACCCAAAAATGTCAGATAGTAAAATGAACAAACCAGCATAGAGTCTTTATCCATTACTGCTACCTTTCTGATTTGAAAAAATGTGAACACTTGTAGTCCTGTGTGGATTAAGATCTATGCAATTCATACTCTTACTTGATTTAGTAACATGAGCGACATTTGAAATCAGTCAGACAGAATAGTTTGACATAACTCCCAAGTTTGACATAACTCCCAAGTAAGTAACAGGAACTTCAGATATTTTGAAATCTTCAGAATACCAGGGAATGCATATTAATCCTACCCAGGGGCTTTCTGTTCAAAACACTTATGGGGAGGGATAGAAAAGGGCCCAATCATAAAATTCAGATCCAAATCACACTCATTATGAAGACAGGCCTAAGCCAGGACATTTGGCTCTGGATGTTTTCCAGTGTGTGAATTTTGGTCCTGGGTCTCCCCACTGGGGCTATTTCAGCGCAGGAGTGTGATGGAGTGTTAGGAGAGGGTTGCTTATGACCACGTCTTGCTGTTTACAAGAGACTTAGCAGGTGCCCGGACTGTTACTTTTGTGATATTTTGTGCCTGCTGAGATCAGTTAAGACCTGCTCCAAAGAGAACTACCTCTGTCCTTCCTTGACATGAAATAGGATTACTCTAATTGATGGTGATGGGGAGAATGAGGGCAGGGAGAGAACTCCAAGGTCTGTCATGCACCAAATTTCAGGAATTCCCCGTCGGTGAGAATCCAATAGCGCCTGGTGCCTTCACACTGCTGTTTTCAATTCATACATGGAGCTAGCAGCTGTCTAAGACTCCCTTGTATGGTTTTTAATATTGGCTACTTCAGGGAGCACAGTATGTCAAAATATTGTTTCCAGATCTTGTGCTGTAGCTGACTGTGGCCCTAGTGAAGGATCATTATTGCTGCATGCTGAAATGTTACAAAGCCGGGACTGGATTGCATGGCCCTAGATTTTTACTCCTGTATAGCAGAAGCAGGAGGGTGTATCTATTGTCACTGTCCAAAAATACTGCAGCAAACAGCAATAATTGAGTCATGGAAGTGTCTGAGTTACAGATATGGAGAGCAGGCCTTGGCTTTACTTGTCTCTCTTGAGGATGCAATCCCTTACAAAACTAAGTCTTTTGAAGCCTTAGATTGAGCTGGCTGGTAGGGATTGGTGGTAAACCTTCTGCTAAATCGTGTAAATACAGCTTTTTGTAGTAGTCTCAAAGCAAACCATTTTAGATAATGACACATTCTCCACTTGATTCCTCCTCAGGACTCCTAATGAAATTAATCAGTGTTTTGACAATGAATGAGAACAGAATAAACCCAATAGCCTTAAAGAAACCTCAGCTAATCTGATTCTTCGTGTCAAAGTTCACTTAAGGATTACTTAACTCTCCTTTATATTTTTCCAGACGCTGCCTTTTCTTTCCTGCAAGTCTCCATTTTTTGTGATGGAAACCTCAGAGCCCTGCCACTTTAACCTTTTTTTATTTCCTGCAAATTTCCTGAGCACTGGGAATCTAACGGTGCCTGCATTCCCACTTACAGTTCACGTGCCCACCCCAGGTACTTTGGGAGATTAAAGAGACAGGGGCTTCACTGATTTATTCTGGAGTAAGTTAGGGTTTCACTAGGGAAATCAGAGTTATCCCTGTAGTCCTCCCCGGAGCCTGACTGTAATCTGCAATTGCTGATGAAGTGTCAGAATAGTAAGAGTTTTAAAAAAAACTTTCCCAAAAGGCCAGCTGTGGAAGAATGACAAATTTCAGCCTGGGAAAGAGCGAGCGTTCAGCTGTATGCGCCTGGACTACATATCGTATTTGGTCTAGGTTCAGCTTTTAATAAAGAGTCCTTCAAATAGTCCCAGATTTACTTTTTTTTTTTTTAATTTAAATCAGGTTTTCACATTGAATTTTGTTCTAATCAAATAATTTCTCCACTTCTACGATGGCATGAGGTCAGGCCATAGCTCTTGCCTGCTGTCAATAAGAGGCATTCACACTGGGTCAGGGATGTAAAGAAAAACCCTCTTGCGCAATGCCATTACACCTATTACTTTTCAGGAAGAACGGCATTGCGCAAGCGGGTTTTTCCTTGCGCAAGAAGGGGCAGTGTAGATGCTCCTTCTTGCGCAAGAGCCTCGTCTGAAAAAAATGTGGCTCATTAGGATTGCAAATGAGGCTCGGCGACATTCCACGCTTAGCCTCATTTGCATATTACTTGCGCAAGAAGCAGCGAGTCTAGACCTAGCCTTAGGGTGCTCTTGAAACAAGAGGTGTAACTTCTGTTAAAATGACTCCTTGTTCCGTGCTAATTAAGTGGACTTTGAGGTGACTAAGAATAGAAAGTAGGAAAAACTTAAATAGATTAATAGCACCTTAAAGACTAACAAAACATGTGGATGGTATCATGAACTTTTGTGGGTGCAACCCACTTTGTCAGGTGACCGGAGTATTAGAAGTCCAGATCCAAGAATAAATAAGGGAAGGGAGAGGGGGGAGGAGAAAAAAAAAAGACTGAGTAAATTGTTCTTATCGGCCTGTTGTAACTATTTGTATTAGCCCGTTGGTTGTTTAGTAAGTTGTCAGCCAGCAAATGTCCTTGTTCACGCCATTTGCATAGGAATTAAACTTGTAAATGAAGTTACATTCAAATCCTTCTCTGTGTATTTGGCTTGTGGAATTGGCCTGAAACAAAACGGTGACTTGGAGATCCATTAATGAGTGTCCAGGCAGATTAAAGTGTTGTTTTTTCAGATATCTGATTTGTGTAGAGACTGTCCTATAGAGACTGTCCTGTTTGGCCAATATACATGGCAGTTGGGCCTTGCTGGCATTTAATGGCATAGATCACATTAGTGGACGTGCAGTTAAATGAGCCTCTGATGTGGTAGCTGATGTGGTTGGCTCCAGTGATGAAATCACTGTTGTAGGTGTGTGGGCAGAGCTGGTACTGGGGCTGATTGCAGAGGTGGGTTCTGGGATGATTATGATGGAGGTGTGTTGCATGGTTATTGGAAAGAATGTGTGAGGTTAGGGGTTGCTTGTAGGTGAGGGTTGGCCTTTTCCCATCTACAACCTATCCTGGAAAATGACCCCTCACTCTTAGGGTATGTCTACACTACCACCCTAGTTCGAACTAGGGTGGTTAATGTAGGCAACCAGAGTTGCAAATGAAGCCCGGGATTTGAATTTCCTGGGCTTCATTTGCATGTTGCCAGGCACCACCATTTTTAAATGTCTGCTAGTTCAGACTCCGTGCCCACGGCTACACGTGGCACGAACTAGGTAGTTCGGAATAGGCTTCCTATTCCGAACTATCTATACACCTCATTCCACAAGGAGTACAGGTAGTTCGGAATAGGCTTCCTATTCCGAACTATCTATACACCTCATTCCACAAGGAGTACAGGTAGTTCGGAATAGGCTTCCTATTCCGAACTATCTATACACCTCATTCCACAAGGAGTACAGGTAGTTCGGAATAGGAAGCCTATTCCGAACTACCTAGTTCGTGCCACGTGTAGCCGTGGGCACGGAGTCTGAACTAGCAGACATTTAAAAATGGTGGTGCCTGGCAACATGCAAATGAAGCCCAGGAAATTCAAATCCCGGGCTTCATTTGCAACTCTGGTTGCCTACATTAACCACCCTAGTTCGAACTAGGGTGGTAGTGTAGACATACCCTAAGAGTGAGGGGTCATTTTCCAGGATAGGTTGTAGATTGTGGATAATGCATTGGAGGGGTTTCAGTTGTGGACTGTAGGTGATGACAAATGGAATTCTGTTCTCTCTTTGGCCTGTCTTGAAATAGTTCATGTCTGGGTACTTTTTTGGCTCTGTCGATCTTTTTTTTTTTTTTTTTCCACTTCTCCGGGTTGGTATTTTAGTTTTATGAATGCTCTATGTAGATCTTGTAGGTGTTTCTCTCTATGGAATTGGTGCAAATCCAGTTGTATAGAAAGTAGATGAATTCAGACGACAAAACCATGACAAAACCCAACTTATGGTGCTAAGATGCTGTCTGCACCATTTTTTGCCTGATCCGTTGTATCTGGAAGGACTACAGAAGCTGTTCCACAAGGTAATGATCTTTTCTTTTCATATGCACAGACATCTAGGTAAAGAAGGCTGGGCCCCAGCATCGTATCTGAAGAAGGCTAAAGATGATCTTCCCTCTAGGAAAAAGAACTTAACTGGGCCAGTGGAAATTATAGGCAACATCATGGAGATCAGTAACCTACTGAACAAGAAACCCTCCAGTGACAAGGAAACCCAAGCAGACAACGAAATGGCAGAGTCCCACGTTGCGAAGAAAGAAATCAGCTTGCCCATCCTCTGCAACGACTCGAACGGCAATGCGATGATGACCCCCGACAAGCAGGCTTCAAAACTGACTCAGGGATCTCCTGCTGTAGCGAGGATTGCACCACAAAGAGCTCAAATCAGTAAGACCAGAATGTATTGTTGATCTGTGCATGGGGGTTTGCTCAGGGGGGAGTTGAGTATAGAGAAGTGGTGGGTAGCCTGAAACCCCTTGGGATTGTGTGTGGGGTCCAGGAGACCTTTTGTTTACTGTTACCTGCTCGCAGGGTTGCCAGGTTCTGCTGCTTTTGTCTGCACAGGGTTTTTTTTTTTTTTCGTTTCCCCCCCTCCCTTCTTCCCCTACTGGTATTACTGAAGTGGCACGCATGTAAAGCGAGGGCACGGGAAATGAGATGCGGGGCTGATTGCACACAACATTGTAAGAGCCACGTGCTCCCTCTGCATCCGGTCACAGTGCTGCTATGGTTGTTGCCACCCCTGCAAATTCTAGGTACGCAACAGCAGTCGGCAAAGCTGCCCTGTCCCAGGAGACAGTCTGTCGCAACAAGCTTGCAATCTACTGAGATGGAGGGCCACTCATGCAGCCTGCTTGCTAGCCTTGGTTGCCCCTCTAGAGCAGTGTTTCTCAGCCTTTTTTATGAAAAAAGTACCCCCAGTACCTACAGTTTTCAGATACACAATTTTTTTTTCTACCATTGCAACACATTTGTTTAAACTTAATCGTAGCCAGGCAGGCGACGAAATTTTTGGGATGTAAAAGGTACAAAAATAAGAAAGCGCAGTAAAACTTAAAACCCGTTTTCTCCAAATTTCAGTTGACGTACCCCCCCAGACTTCTCTCGAGTACCCCTAAGGGTACTTGTACCACTGGTTGAGACACACTGATCTAGAGCATGTTCTCAATCAAGGGCTGCCCTTTTTACTGCATGGCCTACAAGCATCTGTTGCTTCACCTGCCGGGAAGCTCATTCACATGGGCAGTCCACAGAATGCAGGCATATGAGAACCTCTGGGCTAGTGACAATGCTACAGATGCAGGTGTGTGCAAGAATGAATGTGTACATCAGCAGGCTTCTGTGCGAGTGAAAGGAGTCTGCTCACGGGGATTTAGATGTAATTTCAGGACCCGTGTTTGTAGTAGGTGTCGGTTCCAAGTTGCACTGATTCTGGAGAACGAGTTCTGCTTCACCACACCAACCACAGGCCTCGGTGTGGTAGAGGAACTTGTGCAAACTTCAGAATTCTGATTCCTAGAACAAATCTGCTGGGTTTTTTTCCCCTCAGAGTAGGCTGTAAAATGAGACCTCTGAGTACTAACCTCTGTATTAAAGTGCCCCTCTGGTGACCAGAGCAGATAACTGGGCATTGGAACACCTGGACTCGGTTGGTCACTCCTCCATTTGCCTACTGTTCCTGTGAGGCCAGTCACCCCAGCTGTTGTGTGTCTGCTGCCTCCTCTGTGAGATGGGGCTGATGGCGCAACCAGCCTTTGCAGAGAGCTTTGATACACTGTGACTGAGTCGGCTGCATTAATGTTCTTGTTCTAATGGATTCCTTTTACTATTGAAAAACCTGAACACTGAGCCAATTTCTCTGCTGGTCCAAGTCCTGTGAAGTCAATGGTGTTATTTCAGGAGAGAATATAGCCCACCGGTTTTTAAAATTTGTACACTGGTAGCCTTTGGAGACTACTGAAGTAAGCTTAGCAATTTATTTCCAGTATAAATTAGAAAGTTTTCAGTGTTCTTTTACTTTTCTATACTATTGGAAATATCTTGATCATGGCAAATAATGGAATTTTCTAACCGCAAGTCCTAATTTAGTTATCTAGGACAGTTGGCAGCTTTAGAAGGATTTTGCTTAGCACAACTTACAAAGCTAAAAAAATTAACTTTCAAAACTTTTTTTCCCCATAGGCTCTCCAAATCTAAGAACTAGGCCTCCACCTCGGAGAGAATCCAGTCTGGTTTGTGTTTTCTTTTTATATTTAACTACTACCTCTGTCACGTAGACAAAATATTTAAAGGAACCCTGTCCCCCTCACCCAGTACACAAGGCTTCTGAGGAGATTTTTTTGGTTACTTGATTACCTGTTCTGTTACCTCCCTCTGGGGTGGGGCGGGCAGTAATTTTTGAGGGGGGGGGCACTCCAAGATTTTGGGTCACATTCTTCCATGATATTAATGGAGGAGATATGGAGGTTGGGTGCAGAGGGGAGCTTGGGGTAAGGAATTGGGCTGCAGGAGGGAGATTGGAGTCTGGGAGAAGAAGGTGGTTGTGACCTAGGGCAGGGGACTGGAGTGCAGGGGTTTGGGATGTGACCTAGGGTAGGAGGGGACTGTGATCTAGGGCAGGAGATTGGGGTGCCAGATCTGGGAGGTGGTCTGGGTGTAAAAGGGGGATAGGGTTTGGGTATGAGTGGCAAAAAGTTGAGGGTTGGGGCAGGAAAGGGCATGGGGGGCCAGAAGCAGGCTGTGGCCAAGAGACTTACTTGCCAGCTGCCAAACTTGCCTGCCTGCAAAGCTAAGGCTTGCAGAGTTTAAATCGTTTCTCAACCAGCCTGCCTGCTTGCCTGGCCATGTGCCATTGAATAACTGAGCGGAGGAGAGGGGGCCTGGTTCTTCTTGGCTGCCTGTTATTCAAACAAGCGGCTCCTGTTGGCTGGTTTCTAGTCAAAACCCAGCCAATGGGATTATGCTGGGGGTGGGGTGGCTCTTGAAACTCCCCCCTCCCCCCCATCCGCTCCAGTTTTGAAACCGAAAGGAAGCCCGACAGCTGCATTTCTGAGCACTGCTCGGGGTTGCGGGGGCAAGCAGAGGAGCCTGCCTGGGGCTCATCTCTACCTCTGTGGGCTAGATCCGGTGGCTTGGCAGGCCAGATATGGTCCACAGGCTGTATTTTGCCCAGGCCTGCTCTGGGGCATCTGGCATTGGCCACTGTAAGACAGGAGTGTGTTAGATGGACCTTGGTCTGAACAATATGGCTGCTCTTGTGTTCTTAAACACACTGCACCTAATAGAAAACAAGATGCACATTCTGGAATTTGCCCAGCATTCATGCTTGTGAGTCAGTGCATGTTCTGGAAAATGTTGCCTCAAGCGCTGTTCTTGATTGTGTGACTTCTCTCTTTATTTGTAACTATTAAAGTGCAGCGATCACTTAAAATAACTCCACTTAGAGAGGTGAGAAACTGGAATGCATGGGAGAAGCCATGTTATGAAGCACTTCATGATCTCTATTTTTGTTTTGGGGCACTTCACACCTAGGGACAACTTTTAATACAAGTTTAGTAATGTTGTGTAGAATACTATTTTTCACATGTAAAGTGTTCAAAGTTTAATATATAATATTGATGATGTGGTGCTTTGTTCCCATAACTTTTGTTGGGACCAAATGGGCTACTAATAATTAAGCTTTAATCATTGAGTAGAATAGTCTTAATCTTTGAAGGGATAATACTGTAGCTAGCCATTTAATGGTAACTAGCTCACATACTACCACTGGGGGGCAAGGGTGTAATACGACTTCTGTTCCCAACTGTAAGTAACAGCCATGACACTTCACTAGCCAGCTACATCTTGTTGGAATTGTGGCATATTTCAAAACCATGCATAGCATTTTGGGTGCATTGTGTAAACTGGGTATGTTTGAATCCTTCCTCTTTAAAAAGCGGCATAAAGACCAACAATGAAAAGCTCCAAATACAAGACCATAAATAGGATGTATAGATGTCCCCCTTTCTTCCTCCATGACTGAGATGGACATCTCATTAGAAAATGGCTTTTAGCAAGTCACCAGGACTGGCATTTCCCATTGGAACTTGAGAACTGTTATGCGCCTCTTTGTCGTTCATCATTATGCTTTGAGATGAACACGCATGAAGGACCCTGTGTTGAGACACTAATCACAGCGTCCATCTAGGATTCCGATACAAAGCAGCCGAATCTCAAGATCTGTTCTTCTGAAAACTGTGCAAATGTGAGTGCGATTTTCTTATGTTGACCAACTTGGGATGAAATCTCGTGAAACTTTGGACACCACAAAACCAGAATATAGGCCCCTCTTCATTTTCCATGTTATCATGGACAAAAAATTGTAGGAAGCAGTCTCAGTTCAGGACATTTTTTTAATATAATTTGCCTAAGTGTAAAAAGTTTGGATGAAAAGTGTTAGACCACCTTGAATTGCTAGGTCAGTCTAACATCAATCACATGTGACAATAAGGACCAATAATCAACCCTTGAAGACTGTCCCTACCTCCAAGCTGGCTACATTAACACTGCAGCATCTGTTTAATTTTTAAGGCTGTTTGATACTTGTGGGAGGACAGATGCTAGGCGAGGGAATAGGTATTACTACAATTAGCATCTGAGCTTGCTCAGGGCCAACCTTTTAAAAAGCAGAATTGGCTCCCAAATCTGAGGCAGGCATAACGCTACTGAACAAAAGTCATGTCAATCAAATACTTGTTTGTAACCAAATGTCCTCTGCTCAGACCAGGGCCGTGTATTTGAATTCACTCTGTAGTATTCAACTCTTAGTTTTTAGCCTATGTGGTGATCTCAGACTTCTCTTAACATTTAACTGAGAGCTCAGTGTGGTTAATATTTACATCGGTTTCCTCTTGACTCTTTTCTTTGCACTAATTATTTTCAATTTGTCTTTTA